TTACTACCAAATGACTACCAATCAATCTCACCGTTAGATCGATTATGTTGATCCAACGGTTATATTTATTTTCATCTTTGTATGGTCATGATTCCCCATATTTAAAGTGAAAGAATTAAATATGAGAAATCATAACCATACAAAGCTGAAAATAAATATGAAGTATTAAATTTATAAGGCCTTGGGCACTCCCACCCTTTGAGCTAGCTTTTGGGATGATGACCTCAAGGTTCTTTACATGGTATCAGAGCCTTGTGTGCCGGGTTCGATCTTCGCCGTGGACTCTCGTGTGAAGGGACGTGTTGAGATATATAAAACCATTAATGTAGCCTCAACCAACCGTTTAAGCTTTTGGGTTGAATTGGTTCTTTACACACACACACACACATATATATATATATATATATATATATATATATATATATTCATAATTAACATTTTTTTCATATTAACTTTTTTAACATAATATATTAAAAATAATACATTTTACTGAGAAAATTTGAGATAAGATCATTAAACCTAGAAGACGCAATTAATACAGTAGTCGATATTAGCTAATTGAGCTTTAGTAATTCAGCAGAGTAAGTGAATCAAGTTTGACGGGAAAAAAAATATTTCTCGTTATGACGAAGTTGAGTCAGGCTTAACTTGACTAAGCTGAATTCACATTTAATCTTATTTTAAAAAAAATTAAAAGTACATGTTAAATATCTCATAAAAAAACACATTTCCTATTTATAGACTTTATTATTTAATATTTCTATCTAAAATGTACTACTTCTCTAAGTATAATTTTTTTCTGCGAAATAGTTTAGTAACTAGTATAAACTTTAGTTTTTTTTATTCTACTAAAACAATTAAGAGGCAAATAGATTGTTTCACATAAGTGGCGGAACCAAAAAAGATTGTTTATATCCGCACATTTAGTAATAGGGGTTCAGGAGGCCACGCTCCTAAAAAAAATTTTTAGAAATTTTTTAAATGCATTAAAAAAGAAAAAATATAAATAAGAAAAGAAAAGAAAAGAAAAACTACAACTTAACAGAAAATATTATTCCCAACACTTTTTTTTTTTAATCAAGCTGATTTGTTGTATGGCATAATAAAATATTCAATAAAATATATGGCATCGCATTTTATCTCACTATATTTCATTCATTTCTATTACATTTCTCATTATATATCCAAGCAAAGTCTAATCTAACTAACATCATACTTTACTATTATGCTTAAAAAAAATCAGAAATTTATGTCGGCAAGTGCGGACATAAGCTACCAAACAAGTCTGTGTCACTGCTTCACATCAAGGTAGGATACATAATAATTAATAGATGTTTATAGATAAAAAATTGTTAATAGAAATCAAACTGAAAACACTTTATGTCCAGATTCAATCTTATCAATTGAATTAACCCTAGCATTCAAATAATCAAAATCTTACAAAAAAATATAATAATTTTTAGCTATATCTCTATTATAAAATACTCAAACTTTGTTCCATTCAATAAAAATATATATCAAGAATAAATAATAAATAAATAATAAATAATATGCTTTTATTTTATAAAAACAACATAAACTAAAACACAAATCTTCTAAAAATACTAATGATAATAATAATAATAAAATTCTCACTTCATATAACGGAGTGCAATATTTATGGTAACCACAAGTTCATTATCTTGTGCACTTTCTGTCCAACTTCACCACGTCAACAGAAACAAAAAGAAATGTTGTGACAAAATAGTTGCACCACTGCCGCATAATAAATTGTTATGTATAATTCTGATTTATTTCTTTACATTAATTGAAGTGTACGTTGTGAGGTCAGTAACTGCAAGTTGAAAAACTAGCTTATGTATAAATCAAGATGGGTTAATGTAGCACCCTGCTTACTAAAGTAAGAAAATAAAAATCTTTCTATTATCATGCAACTGTCACGTCTGAATTTGTTTCCTTATTTCTATGTTTGAAAAACCATAGAATTAAATAGGACCACAGAGTGTATCCAAAATAAAAAATAAAAAAAATAGGACCACAGAGGCAAATAAAACTTTTGGTCATTTTCTTTGATGCCACCTTTAAAGGACACTTTGAAAACCTAACTTACCAGTGGGTCTCCTTAATTCAATTATATATCTTGGATCCTGTGATATATATTATTGTCTACAACAGATATATACAGAGACTGCTTTCAAATTCAGTCTGTGCCTGTGATTTTATGTTGCTTCCTTTTCATCGTCAGAAGAAACTACAGATTCGGAAACAATTTTTTTCACTTTTTCACTTTGTGTGGATGGATGCTTCCATGCCTTCATCAAGATGCTGTCCAATAGGGTACAAAGATGAAGATGGACTAGACTTATAATTGCCTACTCTCTCTCTAATATCTATGGACACAGAGAGACAGGTCTTTGGACCGTAGTAACTACTCTGCTTTATTTATATTTTATATATATATATATATATATATATATATATATATAGGATTTTATATTTCTCAAGTCACATATGGTGTAGAGACAAAAAGTATGTGGAATCCATATGTTAGAAAAAAATTATGCGTAGGACCCACGTCAGCACGAAAATCGAAAAATATGTAAGAAAATTTTAATTCCCATATTGAATGAGAATATTAAAACCCATATATATATAGAGAATACTATTTTTTATGTAGCAAGAGATAAATTTTATTTTTTATATATACATAAAAATATATGAGACATATATATATATATATATATATATATATAAAATTTGAAGAGTACATATTATATAGATGTTTTGATCATTTGCACTGGGGGAGTGTTACCCTTCAATTTCAATTTCATGTAGCCATTTGTTTTAGACTTCACTTAATTAAAAGAAATGTAGTAGTGTAGCACAAATTCATTTCCCTTCAAACTCGCTCTTTGAGCTTTCGTTCATATTAATTATTTCTCGTCTGTGTGTAAAATTTCAAAAGTTTTTCAAATTTGGTTACGTAATGATCTTCTATCGTGTTGTCGTGCCTCAGTTCGTCTCTATTTTATTTCCTTCGCTCCCTCTTACAAAATTTAATGGCTCCGCCATTTATCATTTGGTAAAACAAAAACGTTCTTTCTTTTCTCTTTCCTTCTTGCTATGCCTATACATAGGGTCATGGTTGGTTACGTCACACCAAGCCTTCGTTCATTATCTTTAATTCCTAGTAGGTTTGTGGCAGGGATTCACATGCACTAGGTCGGCATGCATTGCTAGTTGCATGCATTAGAGAGACTCTCCGAAGTACTCATTAACAAATTAAGGGCTCCAAATTCGATCGGATATGAGTTTATTTATAATTAGAGATTTCTTTTTATCATAGTTGAACATTATATATTGGTGCGTATTTCAATTCAAATTTAGGCTGCGTTACTCGCTTGTGAACTTTACTATATACCTTAATGCACAAGGACAAGGTACACATTAAGAATTCATCCTGCAACTTTCCTGATTGCATGTTAATCATATATCATTTTAATCAAATACTATACTATATACTAAACGAAACATTTTTTTATGTTTTTTATTTATTTTTATTTTACATCTAACACCGAACATTGTAATGGCATTTAGGTAACAACAAAAGAGTCTTGCATTCTGGACCTAGAAGAGTTTTATGACAAAACATGCAGCAAAACGAGCATGTCATTGTAGCAAGACAAAACCATAACATACATGCATATGTGGGCAAGTTAAATTGTCATTCTCTCACTCTCCATAATGTTTCCAAGGTATTGCCTTCGAAATCAAAATTCTAACTAGATCCTGTTAGCGCTAGAAATAACATATGTGTCAGTAGTTTCAGTTCTTGTCCAATAAAGAAAAACCAATTCGCATGTGGTTCTCTATTTAAAGCAGCACAGTTAAAAATTGAAAACTGAAGAAGCAATGACTGATGAAATCGTACATAGTTACACACATAAGTTACATAACTATACAATGTTATCTTCGTTCATGAATAGTATATTTCCTACATGTCAAGCTTAACACTAATTAACACGAATGTGACAAAATGAGTTTGCAGTAACACTTTAATCTTGCAAACCTTAATCAATGCCTAGTCAAACTGTGCATACACGCACGTAGATCTAGGGCTGATTTGCCCGTGTCATTTGGACGTTTAATTTCTTGGCAAAATCATGTTCAATTCAAAGTAACATATATATTAGTAGGGGTTAACATTTCTCCAGTCATTTGAGATAAGTTTGTCTCAAGCTATCCCTTTTAACCATGTACTACAGGTAGTACATAGTTATAACGTTAAAATTGCTTCTTTTTTTTCTCTCTTTTCATTCACTTTTCAGAACTTATCTACTTACGTCGAGAGAGAAAAAAAATAATTTAACATTATAACTATATATTACTCGTAGTACATAATTAAAAAAGCTAGCTTGAGATAAGCTTATCTCAAGTAGCTGGAGAAATATTTTTCCCATATTAATACCAAAAAAAAAAGTAACATATATATTTACAAAAAGTAATAAATTGAAGAAGATTATTAAATAAATGTACTTAAGTATAACATATATATAAGAGAAGCAGCTTAACCAGATCTTTAACCATTTTGTAAAATTAAGTCTGATTATAAGAGCTGCTTCTGCTAGCCATGAAGCTCTCAAGTTGTGGAATGAAAATTCGTAAGTGAACATGAACATCATATACACAAGAATATCATACATCTGACTTGGAACTTCAATTTATCATCATCCTTTCAAGCATGTGCATCAATCAGTGTCAGCTATATATTTCTGGTGATCACAAGGAATTTCTTGCTAAATTCTTTCAAGCTATATAGCGTGTTCATTGTTATTTGGACTAGCTTGGATAACGGTACCATGCTAAATAAAATGGACAATAATTGTTTTTCTTTTTTCTTTTTACATAAAATTAAATTAATTGATGGAATAAATAAATGCATACAATAAACTGAACGTTATTTTAGTTTGACTTATTAAAACTTGTATCCACAAGGGTTTGTCAACAAGGTACGTATAGCTAAAACCACAAAGATTCAAACACAAATATGTCTCATATGTATAGCATTGCCATACTTACAAACGTGCATGTACTCACCTTGGCTGAGAGTGTATAATATATAATGTGCTTTAGCATCTTAGATGGACTTCTATGAAGAATCCTCACGAAGCACCCATTAATCCTTGCTCACATCCTTTTTGCACAACATTGAGGCATAGAACCAATAATGTAACATATCTATGGAACTAAGGAACAATGATGATGATGAGAGGAGCTTCAAGAAGGAGTACTACCCTTATCTGGTTGGCTAAGATTGTTATTATCTGAATCCAAAAGCTTGGAACTAAATGGTGCTGAATAGGGTCTGACATGTGAATTGAATGAGTGAAGAGATGAAATGAGAGGATGAGGCAAGGCTTGAGAACTCGAGTTTAAGAACTGAATATGGTTGAATTGTCTTGGATCATTTTCCACTGAGGTGGCCATAAATGGAGCATATGGAGTAAAGAGTGATGGTGCAGCAGAAGATGTACCAAAAAATAATTGAGAACCTGATGGTACCGGCAAAGAAGATGGAAATTGTACACCACTGCCACTACTTGGATGGGGATCTACCTGAGAAGGAAACAACTCACTATGGCTTCCAAATGGGGATAAAGATAGACTAGAAGGTTCAGAATGGTAGGAGTTATATGCCATGGTATTGTTTAGTAAACCAGGTAAAGAAGAGTGAGCACCACCCATGGGGAAAAGCTTCTGAGTTGAAACCTGGCTATTGTAACCTCCAACTCCATCTTGATTTTCTTGCTCATTTGTTTTCATCCACTTTTCTTTTTCAGAGACATGGTACCCTCTTTCAACTTCCTTGCCTTTTAGTCTTGATATTGAATCTATATCCCAATACCTTGACTTTGCCATGAGATTTTGAGTTCCCCCATCCCTCATAAATGAGGAATTAGCATCATAAAAGGGTCCAAGAGAAAGATCAGAGACAGTTGATCCATGAAAAGGAAGTAGGGTTTGTTGATGAAATTGAGAAAAACCCTGAGGAAATTGAAGTGGAGGAAGCTTATCAATGTCAAATTTAGTTGCCTCAATCAACCAATCTATCACCTTGCTTGGTTGGCTAAGACCAAGCTTGTCTTGAAGATCATATAACTGAATTGCTGTGGGTACTGAGAGCCTAATCCTTCGATCCCTTAGTCCTCTTATGGTGCAAACCTTGCTGTGCCTATCTTTTCCTCCAAAAGAACGTGATACTCGCACAATTCTTGGATTTCTGAACCCTGACCAATGTCTTGAAGTTGAAGATGCCTTGGAGAATTTCTCAAAATTAATGGTATCACCCTCTTGCTTTGCTTGATAACCTTCTCTTGAACTCGCCATCATCGTCTTACTTATCTCAACATTTGTCTCCTTCAATTACTTTTCTCTTCAATCTATGATGCTGCAAGCAACCACCCTCTGACAAACAATAAAAAATTTTTGAAAACCCTTTTTTATTATCATAGAGTTTCTATTCAGAATTTACAACAAGATTATGCAAATATTATTGCACTCTTAATTATGAATCATTCCCATTTTCAGTTGTTGGTATACAAAAGAAACAGATTCGTGAACTAGAGAGCAAAAAAGTAAGGTTCAGAAAGTAGAAGTCTCCAAGAAATGGAAGTTCTACACTGAAACCAGTTTTCCCAGTTCCATTTAAGAACTTCCAGTAGTGCTGAAGTTATATATTTCTCCAAAATTGAGGCCAGGACAATTCTATTTACTCAATTGATAGTTTGTGAAACCAAATTGAAGCAAAAATCATAGCCTTGGTAGTCAAAAAAATTGTTAAAATAAGAAATAGGATTTAACTGAAAACATTAGAAGAAAGAGAAGCATAAAGCTTACGTTAGAATTGAGATCAAAGCTCCAACTTACATGATAGAGAAAATTCCGGATGCTAGCTATCTGGTTATTCTGTTCTGTGCTTTCCACTATAGACTACTAGAAAGGGAAGAAATGGAGGAGCAGATAACAGAAATACCCTAAAATTACAGTGTTTCCAAAATGAGTACCTCAATGTTAATTATTTTACCATATGACCCCAAGCTTAATTAGACTTCAACCTTTTCCTTCAAGGGTATAATTTACTCTAGAATTGAGAATTTTGTTAAAGAAAAGTTGGAATTTTACGGTATTTATCTTGCATGTAAATGTAAATAAATAAAAGGTTTAATATTTCTCATGTTATATGAGATATTATATCCTACATACATAAAAATGTGTGAAACCTGTGTGTCGAGAAAAGAAAGAAAGAGAAAATATAAAATTCATCCACTTTTACGTGTATATATAAGTGAAATTTATCTTATATTAAACTCATAAATAAAAAAGACTGTGTTCTTTGTTCTTGTGGCATCCTTATGAAGTGACACGTCAACCAAACTGATAGTAGTAACTTCCTCGATTCGTTCATACACCACAGACTGAACAATCACTGACTTAATGATTAACTGTTTTTAATATATTAATTCAATTGAGTGTTGGAAGGCACAGTAGACAACAAGCTTCAATTTTGGACTATGGAGTGTTTGGCCAAAGGGAGAAAGGTAAAAAGAAAAGGAGGAGAAAAAGATGACCTTTAATCCATTTATAAATTTGATTTTTATTTTTTTTAAAGAGAAATAGAGGAAGAAGAACAAAGAAAAAAAAAGGTTTCCTCTTTTTGTGCTACCACGGATATCTTTATCAGGAAATTCCCCATTGTACTAAAGGAAAAAAAGAGAATTCCACATAGAATTAATAAATAACTAATGCATTTCTAATAGAATTACTTCCTTTTGGGGTGTTATATATTTTTTAGAATCATTTATACATACAATGTTCTTAATTATGAATCTATGGTCATATAAAATTAAGAATTTTGCAACAAGTTACAGAAAGCTAACAAACTAAAGTAGAATGTTGTAGAAGAAATTCTGAGTAGATAAGTTATAATCACTTTCAAAAGTTGTGGTGTATGCTATTGGAGTCTGATCAGTTGGATTAGATGATAGATAGCTAGCTGCAGTATAGATGAGGGACCAACTTAGGTTCATAAAAGCATCCACTCAACTTATGGAAAGAGGGACCACAGGCAGATGGCAGTGAGATTTGCCCGGCACAAGTTGGACTCTGACTTTCACTCTGTAATAACAAATTTGGTTTAGTAATCTAATTCTGTACGTTACTTTATTAATATGGATATGCTTCTTCAATAATAAGATGCATATGCTAATATTGATCAATGTGTTATAAAGCACCCACAGTTTTAATGCCTGGGATATGTGACTTGCTAACCTGAATAATTTGGTATACTAATCTTCATGGTTTACTATTGGTTCAAGTGATAATTAAGGAGTAATTTGTTCTCCTTAATCAAAGATCTCGAATTCGAGTTTTGAGAATGTAAAAAATGATTTTGGGAGAGCCACCCCTGTAATAGATTTGACAATACTCGAACTGGATTAGTCAGGTAATCGATGAATCAGGAAATATATCTTAAAAAAATTGTTATATTGCTTGCATTTAGGTCTTTAAATATTTAGAGAACTTTACAGCCTGCAAACAAGAAAAACCCTAACAGACAATTATTGTTCTCTCTGGAAAAGTCTTAAGATGTACACATCAAATATGGGCTTCAACAGGGACAAAGTAATTAATAAAGGGTTTGTACCAGATTAGTGTTTCAAGGGAAGAGAACCCCAGTTAATCTTCAGTCCTGCTACATAGAAATTTTTAAAAGAAAAAACTAAAGAATTTTCTGATACGGATTCCTAAATAACTCATTAAAGTTAAGAGTGTTAATTGGTAATCAAACAATGTATACAAATAGAAAGCTTTTAAGAACAAGAAACCTTGAAAAGGATGTGCTGTGTGCTTGAGAGGGAAAGGGTAAGAGCCTGCAGATATTTCCTTCAAAACTAAGCAATATCTAGAAAATAGGAACCTCCACCAAAATAATTGAGAAGTTTATCAGTACTCTGCGACTGCAGTTGGACTTGTCAAAAGCTGAACCTACTTTATATGGTTTTTGAACTTTAAACCCTAAAAACCCTATGAACCCCATAAACTTACCAACAATAAGCACTCAAGGTGAAAATTCATTTCTACACCCAAGGCTTACTTAGATATTCTTTCCACAAATCGTATTCTTAACAATTAAGAAATACAAACAATGTTATGACATTAAAAAAAAAAAAAAAAACCCTAAATTTCAATTCAGTGAACCCAAAATCAGGAAGTGCTGAATTTTTTCTTTTGAAAAAATATGGCTAATTAGAAATATTCATTTCTTTTTTTTACAGAAACAAAATGATTATGATTTTGACGTACTGTTGTCTGCTGCTTAAGGATAATTTGTTTTATGTACTTATCTTTCTGTCTACGAGCTATTGCTGAAAAAGTGGTGAACTACGAGATGAAGTGTTTCTGACTGGACTCGGTTCAACCTACACTCAGCATTATATCTGCAAGTTTTGGTTAATAATATCAGGTACTAGATGAGAAAAGCCATACATCCAAAACAAAACAAAAAACAAAATTGGATCTGCACTAGTAGCTTAATCTTTTAAAATTTATATTTTGATCCTATGTTAATATATTATTTCATAACGGGGCGAACCGGAACAGTGATAAAGCTGTTCTTTCATGACTGAAAGGTCATGGGTTCGAATCCACGAAACAGGCTCTTTACAATTATGCAAGGGTAAGGCTGCGTACAAGGATTGCCTCCACCCCACACTCTAGCCGGATTAACCGAGAGTGGTTTTTTTGGTTTTGGTTTTGGTTTTGGTTAGGGTTTGATGTTTGTCATTTTAAATGACATAAGTTATGTCATTTTAGGAGAGAGATAGACATAAGGAATGAAAATCATGGAGAGAAAGTGGGTGGTTTTTTTTAATTTAAATTTTAAATAAAAAATATATATTTTATATCTTTCTCCTTAAAATGACATAATTTTATATTATTTAAAATGACAAACACTTTTCCCTTTTCGTTAATATATTGTTTTAGATTATTTATGGTAACTTACTACAATAATATTTTTTAAACAGTACAAGAAAATTGCTACAAGTAGGGAGGTGTTATATTTATATCATTTTTTTCTCTTATAATCTTTTACAATTATTGAATCAAAATAAAGTCAATGACTCTCATTCGATACCATTTTATAATTGTTAATTTGATTTTAATACAATAACAATAAAAGTGATTATAAGAGGTTGTAAGAGAAATATAACCTTCCTCGTACCAGTAGATTGAAATTAAACAAATTTTTAAAATATTTTTGTTCTTTACATGTTACCGTAATATATTTAATTAAGTGGTCAAAAATTTTAGCATAACTTGCTCTGGTAAATTTGAGAAATCTGTTTTATCCATGGGTGTATATTTGTAAAAAATTGGCACCAAATATTCGTAGTGGCATAGTTGATAAATAAAAGGTGTACACAATCAATCTCAACATAGCGAAAGTAATGGTTGCTATATATAAATGTTTGAGAGAGGAAAAAACGAGAGACGAATTTTGCTTTGATGTACTACATATTTGTTAGTTTTTTCATCAAAAATGCAACTGAAAATGCCATATCATATATCATCATCCCCACTGTCCACTGAGATGTGAGTAACTCTGTAATGAATGAATATATTCCATCAACATCAAGCACTGTAAGATATCAGCCATATTTCACAACATAATGACCCAGTTAATAAATGTATGCGCTGTCAGAATAGATATTATGGATAGATAATTAGAGAGGTTGTCATTGAATAACAAATTCCCACATTGTCGGTTGGGAAGATATGTGTATATAATATTAAAGATTATAAAAATCATTAAAACTGGCTATATGTTCTCTTTTAATTTTGATTTATGTGGGTTTCTCTGTATATTCTGCTTAGGTAGTCATTGCACTGTGCCAAAAACTGCAAAAGAGACAGCACCAAACCCTAGATAGGAGAAGGACACTGGACACAGAGGAAAGGATGTCAAGATAAAAGAAAGACAAGTAAATGATTAACACAAGTTTGGGGGAATTGTTAAAGCTATTTAAGATAAATGCTTATTTTCCATCTTATAACTATTAAGATATATTTGAAAGGGGATCACTAGGAACAAGACACCCTCTTCACTCCTACATTAATGAGCTATTTGACCTATTTGTTCTTTAATTAATTAAAAATTACCACTTTATTTCCTTTTTAAACTATTTAAAATTTTGATCATTTTCTTAAACATAACATCAATTTGTCCTTATTTGATCGTTGAACAAAGAAAATACTCGAATATAGGACAATATACTCGAGAATATTAATTGCCTTAGTTGAATATGTTCATCATTTCTTGAATTATTTATCCGAGTATCACCATTGATACTCGAGTATCACGATAAATACTTGAGCATCCACCCCAGATACTCGAGTATATGTCGGTCAAAAACCCTAAAATGAGTGGGTTTCGGTCTCGTTTGTCACTTACCCGTTTTCTATCACAAAATCTCTCTCGTTTCTCGTCTCTATTCCAAGCCATCAAGTTTGTATTCCATCCCACGGTCTCCAAATCTTGTATCTTGTGAAATCATTGTCATTACACTTATATATTCAAAAAAAAAATACAAAAATCTGAATCAAAGCCAAACCCTAGAAACAATTTCGTGTTGAAAGATGAGCTTAAGTTCAAACACTTATTCTGCAGTTATCTACCTCAATGGGAGGCAATTTGAAGGTCCCAATGGTGTCCGATTTGAAAGAAAAATGAAAACGATGAAAATCAAACGGGACACTGCATACAATGAACTGAAGGGGAGAATTCACCAAGAATTGGGGCTACAAGGCAGCCAATGTACTCATTGCTTGATAGCCAGGTATGCTACATTGGTAATGATATCAATGATGATGAAGATGTGGAGTTTATCATAGATGCATTTGATGACCGGAAAGTAAAAA